TATAGAATAAAATTAAAATTAATGTAAATTGACGTGGTATTCTAATTTACTTAACAAATACTGATTGTAGAAACATATTAATGAACAAAAAAAATGACATAACATTTTACTGAACTTAAAAATTATGTTTATACTCATATACAATCAAATAGAATTTAACTACTGATTTAGGAATTAGTTTTAAATTCTTTTACAATCCATGATATATTATTTATATTTGTCATAATATCTTTTCTCGTATATAAATTCTCACTATCTCATGTCCGTTGAGTCTTGGTAACATTATGGCACAGTTCCAATTGTGCTTTTGCAATTGGAATTGAGAAATACGTCAGAGGGAAATACGCGTGATTAAAATGGATCAACTGGTTTACCAGCTCTTCAACAATGTTCAGTTTTCATGGTGTTGCCTTGACCGCCTATCTCGGTGTGCCCCAGATTTTCAAGAACGTGTAATTCTGTAGCATTATATGCATTAATCGTAGGAAAGAGAAACGATTTATCCGCGCAGATATACGAACGAGATAAGGCACACGGATGTATCGAAAGTTTGACCTTTTTCTTAGTCTCGTAATATTCCCACTTCCAGTCATCGTATTAACTTGTATAAAAATCCTTTCACGGCGATCCTACAATTGGAACCGGTTGGCCTTCTCGTGTATACCTTTATAAATAAAATATTTCATCGTGGAGAAATGAAACTTTTCCCTTTATGAACGAAAGAACGCGACGAGATTTATTCCAAACTAGTAATTGATGCTTAAGCAAAAACATGACAAAATGGACGAATGATAAATAGACAATCGAATAGTATGCTCATGTTAAATGTAATAAATATTAAACTTTTATGTTAAATATAATTAATATTGAAATAACAAATATTATAAATGTTATAAATTAATATTGAAATAAATAAATATTGTCTAAAAAGAATAGAAACTAAAAATTTTGAGAACAATTTTGTTTAGCTTATTCTTTCTTTAGTCTAGTAATAATCATCATTTTATTAACTAATTTAAATAGTTAGATTTGGCAAAAATTTTTTTCATTTTTCAATTATCTTTTTAAAATCTCCGTTACGAGATCAATATATCCAATTTGCAATGAGAAATATTATTTTTTTGTTTGAAATAAATGCAATAAGACTGTACGTAATTATTTTTTTTAATTCTATTTATAACATACTATGAATATTAGCAATATAAATATAAGTTGATACAATACTTTAATAAAGATATCGAGTTGTACCAAGTGATAATAAATCATTACTTACAAGTATTACAAGTATTAGGTAATTACATTTCATTCAATATCAATGTTACAGAACTTATACATTAGTTTTAAATCTAATTTGCTAACGCGATCGTAACTTATTATACTCTTTTTGCAATCAAACTAAGTGACGAATTGTCTCGAAATATATCGATGCTCGAGACATATTGGAAAGAGAAAGGGCAATCGATTTCACCGCGTCTAATTATTCTGAGCCACGTGTATTCGTGTACGTGACTCCTTTTCACATCGTCGTCAGACGTTCTTTTAAGAATATCGCACTCTAATAAAAAAATCATACAAATATACATTATATTTTACTGTATACATATATATTTTCGATATGATCTGTAAACTATCCTTGCTTTTCGTTGAATTAAATTTTCAATCGATTTATTATTAATTGATTTGATAGAAAAATAGAAAACAAAATAATTCAATAATGAATCTTTGAAATTATCTATTCAAACTATTGTAAAATGTTACTATGCGTACGTTTAACAATTGTTTATATCATAACTTCAAAAACGGTTATATTTTATAATTATAAAAAAATGTTACGTTATAATGCATGACGTTGTTATGCTGTTATAATGTACACCATCGGTTGTTATAAAAGTTGCTATCATGTTTGCAGTCTTCTTTCAGAAACATTTTTTTAAGTACACTTGCATAGAGTGCTTATTACAGCTTTTTATTTTTGAACGAATAGTGAAAGATAGTGAACTTACCTAACGTCAACATCAAGAGAAAGAAAAGAAGAATTTTTAATTCGCTATTTACGAAATTTGCACTTATATTACATGTATTTGAATACAAATTAATAATCTAATCGACTAAAAGGAATTATGATGCAAATTGCGACGCTTATACTCGCAAAGAGCTAACGCTTTCTTTAACTCAATATTTAACTCCGGTTCAATGAACTTAATTTGATTTCACGACTATTTCTCGATACCGTCTCGAAATCATTAATCTGATATTCAGCTTGCATATTTAACTTGCACTTTTGAAGTCTCCTGCTGCTCTATTACGTTCGTAATTTAATACGTAAATTGAAACCGACTCGACAAAGCTCGGCGAAATTTTGTAAATTGGTACGGTCCACTAGGATTCCCATGGCGATTGTAGTAGCAATAGTGTTTCGTGCTTCAATCGAAATAACATATCCCTCGCGCGCTTGAACGCAAATCAAAGTGAATTCACCGGCGCGGATTTGCTTCCCTACGTTTCGCGATGCGGCCCTTTATTTATTTATGTCTCGACAATTTTACAAGCGTGACGCTTGCGTGATGGCGACGCCCGGCGATGAGTTCGCGCAAACATTTCGCGAGACGTGATCTCGTGTAAAATTTTGTTGCCACTTCCCTTCGGCTTAACCCGTTTATCGGCGACGAGTACGAGTACGCGCTGTATCTCGTAACTTGCGGCATTTACAAATTTACGAAGTTAAATTTACGTTTAGTTGAGAATATGATGGAGAACGATTATGTTAATATCGCTGAATTCACTAACCAATGTCGCATCACTTCTGTATGCGTTTTTGAGTGCACTTGCCTTCATCAAAACGATGCAGACAGACGTTGAAGATAGCAATAAAAAAAAAAGGAATAGAAAGAAATTACATTCGAAACTTTAATTTAATTATCTTATCTGTAGTCTGCGAAATTTTTACCGTTAAGTAACTTGACAATTAAACTCGATGATAAGACACGCATTTATGCGAAAGAAAACAAATCTTTATTTAGCAAACAAACTGTATATTTCTATGGTAAACGACGCGAACGTGCCTCGTTTTAGGAAGCGATTTTAGGTAAATCGCTTTAACTAAAATTACCTCATTTGCACTTAAATTTCTGTTGTTAAATAACCTAGTAATGAAGTCCGAGATGTGTGAAAAGTGTCTATGTTGAAAAGGAAATTTCTATGCAGCACGCGAGTGCAAACTTTATACGTAAAGCGTTAAAGAGGAAATGCATTTCAAAAAATGTTCTAGAAAAAAGATTTGTAGAAATAATTTATTTTATGTAATAAATATTGAATTCAAGGATAACATTCTTACATTTCTTTTATTACGTAACTCTGTAGTGAAGTTTGAGATAATAAAACATGAATTCATATAAGAGAAGGAAATTTCTATTTAAGAGACAAACGCAAATTTTGCTCGAAAAACAGCACAACTGCGCGAAAAACGATCCAAGAGCAGCAGCTTTGTGATAAAATCGCTTTAATGGAATTCCAGTTGAGCTTTATATCTGTTGAGTTCTCATTGTCAAATAAAAACGGTAATGGAGTTTAAGATAATTAAAAATGTCATCTGTAAAAGAGCAATTTCTTTTTAAGAGACAATTTTTAGAGATTATACAGATTTCATATAGAGGCATATTTTACGCTTGTGAAAAGACAGCTCCTTCCCATTATTGTTACAGTTTGTAATCGCGTTACAAGGATGGTTGCTTTTAAATCAAAACCGCGGCGTTGTGTGATAAATACCCTGTCGTGACGTAAACTATAATCTTACATTTCACGCATTTCTTGACACGCAAGTAGCATATTAAATTTTGCTAAATATAATGTAAACTTTGATACAATAAAACATTATCCGCTCAGATTGTTCTAGAGAAAAATCTTGATTCTATGTTTAAAATTTATATTTAAGTTCTTAAATCTTTTTGAAAATATCAACGAGAAATTTCAAAATTTATTAAACTATTGCAGCAAACAGCTAAATTCATATAGAACTATTGAATACACGACTATACTTTTATTTAAATTCATAAAAAATTAGTAAAAATAAAGTGGAGTCGACAATAAAAAATTTTGTAACAATTTATAAACAATATAATTAATTTATATATACGATCGATATGTTGAATTTCTTGTCCGCATTATGCAGACGTATTACAAAGAATGATTACAATATCTATAAAATTATAAGGAATTTATTCACATTTGAGATTTCACTTACACAACACAAAATCATTAATATTTAAAGATATTTAAACAATAGAAGACTATTAATTTCGAAGATTAAGTGATACAAAAATTGAGTAATAAATCATCTCTCCCGGATATGTGTGTATTGTATAACAATAAAGATACGATCAAATAAAGATTAATTGGCCATCACATATATCATCCTTGAAAAAAAAAAAAAAGACATTACCGGAACATCACCAGATGTCACGTTGAAAATCGCTTCGTCCGTTCTAATCGCAAATTCCGAAAAGGCATTGATCCGATCTTTAGACAGAAAGATTGAGAAGATTACTTTGACCTTTCCGCTACATCTGAATATGTAGACGGTCGACAGGATCCTCGATCCTGACGCTAAGATTCCCCGCCCACTTCATCCTCGTCTCGACTTCCACGGAGTAAAGAAGCGAGAACCGGCTACGGACGAATCATCGGAGTTACTGACATCCCCGTTAAAAGGTTGTTTTTTGCCGACCGGCATACAGATTTTCTCATCGTCGTGCAAACGTGAAGGGAACATCTAGGAAAGATTCCTACCAGCGACAAAACGCCGGCTATTGCCGGATCCTTGGACGAGAGGAAGCTTCCGCTGGCACAAGAAAACACCTCGCCGATCTCGAGCGAAGATCGGCGCTCCTCACGGCGATCCTCACGGTCACTTCGCACTCCTCCTTGTCACACCGGTCCAAGTGGCGGA